TAAATTACTTAGGATTATAATATGGCATGATTTGTGCTGCTTGCCTACCTTTACTTAGCATGAGTAGCTAGATTTGCTGAAGCCTTTATGCTGTAACAGAGTTATTTTTTCTTAATTTTCCTAGCAGCTCGTACAGTGCAGTGTTTATTCTTTTGGTATGGAAAAGATGTTGATATCACACTGATGTTTTCATAGTGTTTTTCCAAACTTTGGGACTCTTCAGTTCTCCATGTTCTGCCAGCAAGCACAGGTGCACAAGGAGTGTAAACCAGAAGATAAGGAGGCTCCAACCCTCTGCTGAAACTGCAAATCAACAAGGTTAAGAGCCTGCCAGGACAAAGAATAGGAATCCAGTAAAATCTTAGAAGACCCCAGACCAAAAAACCACCAAAAGATGCATGGACAGTGCATGAAGAGTGGGTGTAGAGATCACAAGGGTATAATTGCCCAGGGATTTCTTTGCCTTTTTGGAGGTACCCTGCCCGGACTGTCCTTGCTGCTGTAACCTTTCAACGAAATTACCTATTTTCTATAATCTGATGCTTGAGACTCTGCTGTGGGAGACCTAGGGTTGAGCCTGGAGAAGCAGGAAGCGTGTCCAAGCGGAAGCATGTGTGTGTAACACCATGAATGGTGTGTGAATGCTCGGGCAGTGGCTTCTCCTTTAACAGATTACACTATTCCACTTCAGCAGCTGGGGTAGGTGGGGGGTTGTTAATGCTTTAATATCAAACTTATATCCATACTTTGAGTGCTCTGATAAGAAGGAAAAAAAAAAGATGTGAGTGCTTTTAGGACAACATGGTTCCAACATGAAGCCAGGCTCTTGTTTTTTATTACTCTAAAGTGAGGATGAGTATGCTGGTAACCATGCAGTTGCATGTATTCAGCTTAGACCAACCCTTACTCTCTAGTTGCTTTATCCTCATGGATATGCGTTGTGACACATCCATAATCAAGATTAAACGGCAGTGAAGTCAGGTCCATGTAGTAAAGAAAACTACCACAGATTGACATGAAGCATAAATAGCAATTTAGTGTGTTACTGGTTACGCTCTTTCACTAGAGGTGCCAATATCTACCCAACATCGAATGCCAAGAGCTCTCTGGAAATTAAAGTAGGCCAAAATACAGTGTAGCCCTTGGTAAAAAATGGCCACAGACCAGCAGCACATTTCCGTAGCACAAGTACTACAGGCAAGTGAAAGTGAGAGCACTTAGAAAGTTCCTCAAACTTGTTGATACGACTTGAACGACCCTGGGTTCCACTGAAAACTTCCAACATGATCTTACACGAAAACTCACAAATACCACCAGTCCCAGTTCTGCACTCCTGGGGTTTTGCCAACACTCACAAATTGGTCCAAAAATAATGTGTGGCAAGAGGGAGACATCTTCATCTAATACAAATTAGGGTAGTTCCATGTCTGGATTTGAATCAAGAGTAGTGATTCCACTTGGGTCTTCTCTGATCCCAGACTGTGGAAGACACTAATTTGACAATCTTAAAAAGGGTTTCTTTACCTTAAGGCTAATTTTAGCCTTTCATCATACAGACTAATAAACTCAAGATATTTGGTGAATTTTACTTCAGCTAGTTTTATTCAGTGAGTTTATAAATTGCAGGAAATCTTTGTACAAGCTGGGGAAAAGAGCCAGGTCTCCCACCTTCTAGCCTCCAACTCTGATCACAAGGTCAGTTTCAATGTTAAACGTTATTCATTTCCAAGCATGACTACAAAGCACATATTTTATTTAAACCTTTTTGAAAATTAAATGAATGTGGGGTTTTTTTACACTTCCTTCTTTTAAGTGAGTCACTGTAAACTATACAATCCACAAAAAGAAAGCAGCAGCCAATCTCAATTTTCATCAGTGTCACGGGCTACCATCAGCCTCCTGAATTTACTGTGTTAATACAATAATACTTAGCTCTCGCTAAAATAGTCTAATCCAGCAGTTAATTTTTCTTCCGTGCATAGTTCTTGAGGGTGCAGCAGAGTCCATAGCCAAGAGCCTAGACTCTGACCCAGAACTCCATACCTGAAAGACCTTTTGACCTCTTTCAACAACACTTGAAATAGAATGTGCAGGGGAAGCAAGAGAAGTGTTTATTTAAACAGCACAGCACCTTTCAGAACCCTGCCCTTTTTGACTATGGAGAGCCACTTCTTCAAGCAAATAAAGTGACCTGCTCCCTTACCAGCATGTATCGCCAGCTGCATTCTCCCTCCATCCCTTCTCCCAGAAAATGTTTGTGCCCAGGGAGTTTTCAAAATTTCTTTGGAGACGACTGGATCAAACGGCAGATTTTTAAAGCTGCCTAAAGAATCTTAGATTATGAATTGCCGTTTTATACCTTTTATTGTGTAATATATTAAATCTAGTGTTTCCTAAGCAAGTGTTTGTTGAACTCATCAGCTGAAAGTAACATTTGGAGTGCTGTGTTCTCGAACTTCTACCCCAGTTTAACAGCAACACAAACACGCCAAGCTGGAGAGGGGGCATATTAATGATCTCAGTGCCAAGAAAATAATGTTCAGTCATATTTTTTTTCTGGTGCTACTAAGCATTCTCTCCTCTTACGGACTTTCCTTGAAGCTGTGAATACTTAGCACCTTACAGTTTTTGAGTTCTGCTACCTAAGGATGAGCAGAAGGTTAAAAAAGCCTTCCAAAACACTGCTGCTCTAAGGGACAAAGGTATCCCTAGCAGTAAATACTGAGCACACTTCACTGAGTTTGCAAACTCAAGACCCTATTCTGACTATAGCTAGAGCACATTTTGCAAGCTCAGGTCTTGTTTATTCCCTTGAGAGGACACCACCCTGAAACGGCCACATTTGCCTGGTGAAACCCTTTCTGTGGCTCCACGAAGGGCTTGGCCTTACAGGATCTCCTCACAACCCAAGCGTACCCTGAGGTGCAGCTCTCTGCAGGAAGCCACAACCACCCCAAGCACTGTGACTTCTTCATATGGGCTTCCCTAAATCCTGCAAGTCCCCAAGCCCAAGAGGTTTCTCCAAACTTCCTCCCAGGCCAAAATGGGAACCCTCCTCTCCCTCAGCATTGCCTCTCCTCCAGCTTCCCCCCCTCCCGCCCCGAAGCCCACCCAGGGCAGTTCTTGCACCAGCCCCACCACACAGCCCAGCCCCATGACATCCACCTTCTCCCACCCCATCACCTCTCCAACACAAGTTACTGCTTCCAGCTGGAGAGCTGGGCAGAGAAGAATCTAATGAGGTTCAGCAAGGTCAAATGTAAGGTCCTGCACCTGGGGAGGAAGAACCCCAGGCACCAGTATAGGTTCGGGGTGGATCTTCTGGAAAGCACTACTGAGGAGAAGGATCTGGGAGTCCTGGTGGATGGCAGGCTCTCCATGTGCCAGTGTCCTGGTTTGAGGTAAAACAGAACTAATTTTCTGTTCAGTAATTTTACTTTTTTAGCTGGGCCTCTTCTGACTAACTAAACTCTGAAATTAACAGCATATTGTTCAGAAAACTGTTCACTCTCACAGTGATAAGACCTGATTATACCAAGGAATGGTATGCAGAGAGGCCCCTGGTTATACTTATTGCTATAACAACCAAGGTCAGGTAAATTTGTTATTTGCCCCTTTGGAGGGTCGGAAGCGGAAAAGCGTAGAGGGGTCCCACCTGTAGGGAGGAACGGACAGGACAGGTGACCCAAAACTGACCAACAGGGTATTCCATCCCATCCGCATCATGCTCAGTATAAAAGCTGAGGGATCAAAGGGTCAACTCTCTTCCTTCAATGTCCGAGTGTTCCTGACTCCTGATCCAGAATCCGGCTCCTGTCCATCCCCGAGTCCAGCCTGGGACATTCCTCTGCATCTGCTGGTGATGTAATCATCATCCTGGGAGCTTGATACAGTCTTGTATATACTGTATACATTTTTATTTTATTTTACCTTTTTCTTTTCCCTTTTCTCTTTTTTTTTTCTTATGTCATTATTTATTTATATTTTCATTAAAGTAGTTTAGTCTTTTTCTAAACTCATAATTTCTTTTTATTCCCCCTCTTCCTCTCCTCTCTTTTCCTTAGTGGGGGAGGGAGGGTCCATCTGTCGTTCAAAACCACGACAGCCAGCGATGTGCCCTTGTTGCCAAGGGCCAATAGAATCCTGGGCTGCCATAGGAAGGAGTGTGGCCAGCAGGTCAAGGGAGGTCATTCTCCCCCTCCACTCTGCACTGGTGAGGCCACAACTGGAATACTGCGTCCAGTTCTGGGCTCCCCAGTTCAAGAGAGACAGGGAACTACTGGAGAGAGTCCAATGTAGGGCAAATAAAATGATTAAGGGATTGGAGCATCTCCCTTATGAGGAAAGGCTGAGAGAGCTGGGGCTCTTTAGCCTGGAGAAGAGAAGGCTGAGGGGAGACCTCATCTGTGTTTACAAGTTCCTAAAGGGTGGGTTGAAGGATGATGGAGCCGGACTCTTTTCAGTGGTCTCCAGCAATAGGATGAGGGGCAATGGGCTCAAGCTGGAACATGGGAAGTTCCACTCAAATATGAGGAAGAACTTTACAGTGAGGGTGCCAGAGCCCTGGAACAGGCTTCCCAGGGAGGTCGTGGAGTCCCCTTCTCTGGAGATCTTCAAGACCCACCTGGATGCAGCCCTGAGTGATGTGCTCTGGGCAACTCTGCTTTGGCAGGGGAGTTGGACTAGATGATCTCTAGAGGTCCCTTCCAACTCTCACAATTCCGTGATTCTCCCTACCCCCAGCCGCAGCAAGGCCCTGAGGGGACCGAGCGCCCTCAGCGGCCCCGGATCGCGGCTCCCCTTCCCGGGGCCGGCCCCACGGCTCCCTGCCGCCTGCCCGGGCCGGGCACGGGTGGCAACCGTCCCTCTACCGGGCCAAAGCCCCGGCAGCCCAGCGGCCTTCCCCGGCCCAGCCCCTCGCCACCGCCGAGTCGTCCCGCTCCGCCCCCGGGCATCCGGTCGCCCCCGCGGTGGGGGCGGGCTGCCGGTATAAAGGCCAGGCCGCCCCGCCTCACCGCGCTGCCTGCTCCCTTCGGCCTGCTCTCTCCTCACGGGCGCCCCGGAGCCGCCGGCCCACGCCACGCCACACCGGGCAGGCGGAGGTGCCCTCGCTGTCCTTCATCCCGTCAGGCGGAGGTACCCACGGATCCGGGGGGCTGGGGATCGGGACCGGCTGCGCTTGGCGGGGGGAGCCGGGGTCCTGTGGCCCCTGTCAGGGCAAGTCCCGCCGCCGGGGAGGGGGTGTGGGTGGCGGGGGCAGCGGCAGCGGCAGGTCCCCGGGAGGCGGCCCCTGAGGTAGAGTGGGGTCACGGTGGCTGCAAACTGCCCGTGGGTCGTTTTTTGGGGTTTTGGGTGTTTGTTTTTTTTGTTTACCGATGCTAATTGTGGTGGCAGCTGAGGTGTGCCAAGGGTGGGGGAGGCAGTCTGGTGCCTTCCAGGTGGTGACAAGGTGTTGCTGCACCTCAGCACTCGGCCACCCGTGGGTACAGGAGCCCCGTGGGGTGTTTGGGGGGTGGTGGGTGGTGGTGTCACCCCCCTGCAGATGTAGTGACCCCACTCATGGGTGACTGCGTGACCACCCTTTCATCCCCTTGGCTAGCTGGCTTTTGGGTGCTGGCCTCAGCTCTGCCCCTGTGCTCAGGGAGCTTTGACAGCCCCATAAGAGCCACTGGGCTACCGGCATTGGCACGTCTGGTAGCCCCTCCGTGCTGGCAAAGTCCTCTGGGCTCAGGTAGAAATCTGCTGAGCCATTGTAAAACTTTCAATACTTCACTACAGTGTAAAAGGCCCCCAGTCTTATCTCTGTTTGGATGTAGGCATTTCATCCCCTTGGCTAGCTGGCTTTTGGGTGCTGGCCTCAGCTCTGCCCCTATGCTCAGGGAGCTTTGACAGCCCCATAAATGCCACTGGGCTACTGGCCTTGGCACATCTGGTAGCCCCTCCGTGCTGGCAAAGTCCTCTGGGCTCAGGTAGAAATGTGCTGAGCCATTGCAAAACCTTCAATACTTCACTACAGTGTAAAAGCCCCCCAGTCTTATCTCTGTGTGGGTGTAGGTATAGTTAAAAAAACCACCAAAAAAACCCACCACGATACATGTCATGAGAAGGGATCTGAGATCTTCTGTGAGCCAAGGGTAACCCTGGCTAATTCGCCTGTAAGTACATCCCTGCTCGCTTTAGTTGAGGAGCCAAAATCAGCCAAGTGTGTTGGCTGATTTAATTATGTGTAGGGGTATGGGTGGTTACAGTAGGTGGTGTAATTAGCAGCACTGATGCTGTGAACCAGTGAGAACGGAGGACGCTTGGCCCAGTCAAAACTGTGTTAGGTGAGAGAATCCATCAGTGGAAATTAGGAGTCTTGCTGAAGGATGTGGAGTTAGTGTTGTAACAGTCTCCTGTAGTCTGTATGCCTCAACAGCTCGACTTCTCTAAGAGAAAGTCAGTACTTCTCTAAAATCTAATGTGCCTCTGTCCTGGGTAAGCCTAATACACCATTATTTTACTTAACAAATTACTCACATAAGTTCTAAACAGGGTTTAGGTCAAATTATGTATTATACTTTGAAGACAATTGCCACTTTTGCTCTGATGCTGTGACACTTGGCCCAGTCAAAACTGCGTTAGGAGAGAGAATGCATCACTGGAAATTAGGAGTCTTGCTGAAGGATGTGGAGTTGGTGTTCTAACAGAGTCAGTCTCCTGTAGTCTGTATACCTCAACAGCTTGACTTCTCTAAGAGAAAGTCAGTACTTCTCTAAAATCTAATGTGCCTCTGTCCTGGGTAAGCCTAATACACCATTATTTTACTTAACAAATTACTTACATAAGTTCTAAACAGGGTTTAGGTCAAATTATATATTATACTTTGAAGAAAATTTCCACTTTTGCTTTTTTCCATAGGGGCTATGGAAAGGCTGTAACATCCGTATCTATTCCAGAGATACCCAGCTCCTTTATATGAAGGACATGTAGTGCATGAAGTTAGTGTAATCAAATTAAATTCAACAGCTGCATTTATTTTAAAGATTTGTTGCTTCTGTTTTTAGACCCAGCAAAGAACTTGTCTTTCAAAAAACTTGCTGGGTTTTTGATGTACACATAATTGAATAACACTTTCTGTATAACTGTGGTTTTGCTTGTATCTGTAAATGGAAAGGCTGTAACATCCGTATCTATTCCAGAGATACCCAGCTCCTTTATATGAAGGACATGTAGTGCATGAAGTTAGTGTAATCAAATTAAATTCAACAGCTGCATTTATTTTAAAGATTTGTTGCTTCTGTTTTTAGACCCAGTAAAGAACTTGTCTTTCAGAAAACTTGCTGGGTTTTTGATGTATACGTAATTGAGTAACACTCTTTCTGTATAATCCTGGTTTTGCTTATATGTGTAGTAGCTCTATAGCTATGAGAGCCTGCCACAGGAAGTGTCAGTGTTGGCTCTAGAAAGATGCTTCTGTACCTTTTTAATATTTCTTCCACTTTTTACTGGTGTTGCTGCCTTCCATCTGTGCCAGAACCTCTACACACGTTTTGTCCCACTTCAAAGGGAATGAAGACCAGGAAACAGTCACCCTATATCTCCCCTTCATCAGAAGTAACTTGTTTCCCTACCAATTGTGTTTTTGACAATTTTCTTTTTCCTGTTAACAGAATAGTCTTTACCATGTCCTAATGTCTCTCACAGAAACCTCTGAAATAACTTGCTCTGTTCTAGCAGGGGCCTGTCCCTTTCTGTGCCAGAACCTCTACACACGTGTTGTCCCACTTCAAAGGGAATGAAGACCAGGAAACAGTCACCCTATAACTCCCCTTCTTCAGAAGGAACTTGTTTCCCTACCAATTGTGTTTTTGATGATTTTTTTTTTCCTGTTAACAGAATAGTCTTTACCAATGCCTCTCACAGAAACCTCTGAAATAACTTGCTCTGATCTAACAGTGGCCTGTCCCTTTTCAGTACTGGCCTTGTTTCCCATGTGCAAAACCCGAGACTCATGATAACACGTGTATGTCCACATGCTAAATTTCATGAACTTTGCTCAGAGTAGCAGAGATCCAAGTAACTTATCTCTTGGCATTTGTCAAACGTGATTACCTATACACATAGATAGCAATGTGAACTAAGAGATGTGATCAAACGGGGCATGTAGTGCTAAAGGTTGAAGTGTAAGTGCCATTGTGCTCTACCTTTTGCTGAGAAGGAAGATGTTAATCCTTCCTATTGTAGTTAGTCAAAGATTAAAATCCGCTTTGACCAAGGGTGTATTTGTTGCATAACATTTGTAGACTGGGAAATAATTGCTATTCTTTCAAGGATTTAAATGCCTGCTTGGTGTCAGTGTTACCTGATGAGTACAGGCAGTTAATTTAAGTGCACACCTGACATGGTGTGAATCAAGCCTGTGGTGTTTGTTTAATGTGGGGAGGTGAAGAGAAGAAAGTCAACAGCTTTTCAATGCATTCTGAAACAAAACACCATTCTATTGCAAAAGCAGGCTCTCCTCAGCAGTGGTAGTACTGGTAGTTGAGAAGCTGGTAGTGACAGCCAGTAATTTACCTGTTGTGTTTTGGAGATTTGTAAGCTTATTGTATTCTGAAGCTTCCTATGCTGGCAGCTTTTCAGCTGGGTTGAGGCTGTGGTTTGGTTTGCGTGTGATTCCTTGATGACAAGCAGTGCCTTCAAAGCCAGAAAGTTGTGGTCCTAAAAGGAGACTTTTCCCTGACCTAAAATACTGGCTTGTAAGTGCTGGAGTTGTTTGAGCAAGTCATAAACTCTGATTTGTAATTGCCATGCTTTGCTGCTTAAGATGCTTGAGAGATAACTGTCTTTTTTTTTTTTTTTTTTTTTTTTAGTATTGGGGTCCACATTCTGTCAGAGCTGAGATAGAAACTCATGATGTGAGGGGTGGGGAACTTCTGAAGCAGATGAGAGCAGGTGTTTCCTGGCTCTGCCCAATGGTAAATCAATTGTATGCTGCATTCTGGAGGGGATTAGGAACAACCTGGAGATGATACAGAAGCATGAGGAGTCAGATGTGCTGATGTAAGCCTATATATATTTTTTTTTTTTTGAAAGGGCACTCAGAAGCAGGCTAGAGAAAATATTTAGAATGGAGCTGAAAATGCTTTTCAATGTTGAAATATTGGTGTTTGCATTTTATCTCTTTATGGTTTATTCTATCTGGTAAACACTTTATTTTAACAGGTATTTGAAGAAATAGCCTCAAGATGAACTTCTTCCTGGAAACATTAAAAGTCATCGGACTTTCTTTTTATTACCTGCTGGAGTCCCTAGTGTTCTTGGTTGTGCCTAGACGGAAGAAGAATGTTAGTGGTGAAATAGTATTAATAACAGGGGCAGGAAGTGGCATTGGAAGACTCTTATCTTTAAAGTTTGCCAGCCTTGGAGCCACAGTGGTTCTCTGGGACATTAATCAAGAGGGGCTCAAGGAGACAAGCAGACTGGCCAGAGAAAACGGAGCGGTCAGAGTGCACTGTTACATCTGTGACTGCAGCAGAAGGCAGGACGTCTACAGAGTAGCTGATCAGGTAAAGTATCTCCCTGGTGTCTTTGACACTGATCTAGGATGAGTGTGTGCATGTCTGTAGGGTGTGTGATAAGTTTTAGTGACTTCAAGGCACGAGATTAAAGTTAACTAATTCAGAATGTATTCTGCATCCTACCTATTTTAAGAATAATGTGTTTTTTTAGAGTTGACTTATGTACCTCTGCTCTTTTAAAAACAAAGAGCTGGTTCTCTTTTTCAGTAGCTAATTTCAACTGCATAGCTTCTCATTCATTCAATTATGGAGCAGGCACTTGTGAAGTGCAGAAAATTAATGTATTGAAGCTAAAGCAGTATTTCAAGTTCTGGCATCCTTTTACCAAAAGTAAACCCTAAAGACCATGCGCTATAAAATCATTAACTACTTAGGCAATTTTCAAATAATTCCATGGCTATGGCAAACTTGCTTTATCAGAGTTAATAAATGTATCTTAAGTCTTAAATATTTCTTACTTTCTTTCTGAAGAGCATTGTAAACATAGCATGTGGTTAGATATTTTGGGCAAAGTAGTAGAATTGCCAAAAGCTAAAATTGCTTAACAGTTTCCATTATAAAAACCTTTTCTCGTTTGCTTAAAATGTTGCTAAACTTAACTGTTGGACTAGAAAGTTTCCACAGTGAGTGTTTGCCTGGGGATGAATTATTAATAATAATAGAAAGTTCAGCTGTCTTCAGGAACATCTGCTGGTGCTGATGGAGAATCACAGGGTTGGAAGGGACCTTTGGACTAAATGATCTCCATCCCCCCTGACGGAGATGCTCTACCCTTCTGCTTTTTTCTGTCTGTGCAAAAAAAGACTAGGACAAACTTCCTGATGGGTGGAGGTCGTGCATGACTTGCAGGTTCTGAGAGGCTGGTGCCATTGGTTTTGTGTTCTGGTAACACTGGTCACCCTTGGTCCCCCTTGCAGCTCTGTTGTGCCAACTGAGTTGCACATCTGCCTTCCCTGCAGAGCCATTGCGTGTGTCTCACTGCAGGCCTGTAACTGCTTCCCA